GGCCTTGCTCGCCTTCCTTGGAGTTCCTTGCCGAGCTGATCTTGCTCGCCAAGAAGGAAGTCGCGGAGCGGACCTTGCTCACCTTCCTTGGAGTTCCTTGCCGAGCTGATCTTGCTCGCCAAGAAGGAAGTCGCGGAGTGGACCTTGCTCGCCGACCTTGGAGTTCCTTGCCGAGCTGATTTTGCTCGCCAAGAAGGAAGTCACGGAGCAGACCTTGCTCGCCTTCTTTGTAGTTCCTTGCCGAGCTGATTTTGCCCGCCAAGAAGACAAGTTGAGGCTTCAGCCAAACAAGCCAAGAAACCAAGCAAGAGGAATAGTGCGGTTGATGTCTTGCAAACTAAGGACCGAGGAAGAGTCTACCCCGGTCAGATCATGTAATCCCAGACACGCTTGCGCGGACGAAATTAAGGGCAATTGAGAGGGAGATTTATGAGCTGAAGTGGGCCGTGGTAATGGCCAGCCAAATTGTGGGCCGAACACAATTGGGTCGTGGTAGCTTGGGCCTCTCCGGAAGGGTTTTTGCTTGGTTAAGGCACAGGGCATGTGGGACCGAGCTATTTGGCTTGTTGGTACGGAAGCCGGTCTACTGGGAGTTCGGCCGAGATGTCTGCCTGTCTCCATGGGTTTCACGGTTCATGCGTTAGCTCGGCAAGAAGGCCGACGGCTAACCGGCTCGACCTACCTCGAGCTCGGCTTGCCGGAATGCAGCCGAGTTCGGTTGTACAGGAGCTCGACGAGTGGTTCATTAAGGTATGCCATGCAGCACGGTTAGGAGAAACCGAGGAGGTTCCACCGATCTGCCGAGCTCCGCCGAGGTATCCTAACAGTTTGGTTAGGTGGTGATTGCTGGATTTGTGCTGACAGATGGTATAGTAGCACCACGTGTCGAGAGACTAATGGGAGTAAATTTGGGCGCAGAAGGTATATAAGCGAGTCTATGCCCTTCATGCCTGGACGGATGAACATTTGGTAAGAGAAACACTTACACTCAACTCAGTCCTCTCTCTCTCTCTATCCCTGTGTGTGTGTCTAACTTGATCGTCGGAGGGATTTCCCGGCCACTCACCGCCGGGTAGCTCACCGCCGTTGTGCTCGCAGGTCGATCGGATAGACAGGAGCTTAGAAGAAAGGAGTGCGGGCTTGCCTGAATATTTGCTCCCCGTACAGGGGACAATTCCAGCTGCTGTGATATGGAACTTATGGAAGGCTAAAAATTGGTGCAAGTTTGCTGGTCTTGGTGTTAATTGGGAAGGTTTGTGTGAATCTATATTATTACATATAGCCTTATGGGTTAAATATCATCTCAAATGGGTGAGTTACTCTGTTTCTGGCTTGGTGTTTACGATCAAAGCTATTAAGGGTTGCTAACTGGTTGTTTTTCTGGTATCTGTTGTTTTGTTTTCTGTTTGGTTGATTCCTCCCCAGCCTTGTTTTGTAGGTGCTGCATATGATTGGGTGAGTCCTTTTGTGCCAACTTAGTTGGGATGAATGGCCTTCACTTTGATGCTTATAGCACCTACTTGGTTTTGTTCTTTATTGATGTTTGATGTAAAGATTTATCCTTGATTCTTATTTAATAAAGTTTCTTTTTGCCGATTAAAATAATAAAAAAAATAAGGGAGGTCAATATAATTTTTAAAATTTCCAGAGAGGTTCCTATAATTGTTAGAAATCTCAGGGAAGGTCAGTGTCATTTACCCAATATTATACAAATTAATAAATTTTGTAAAAATTGATAATAAATTATTGTCAGTGTTAGTAATGTTACCTATGTTTAAAAAAACAAAAGCACAAAAAAATATTTAAATTATAAAATATGAGAATTAGAATGCTATAATTTTCAAATTTATAATATAAACACAAACTGTGAACATTTTTTAAAATGCTAACTTGTAACATTTACGGGTGGCTTGACAACAATCTAAATAAGCAGTTTATAGGTCACAAGTTATTACATTATTTCTTTACTTTTCTACATATTTTTTCATAAAAAAATTACTAAATAAGCAAATTTCAAACCACCCCGGAACCCATATATAATCACTATCCTTTGTATAAATGCTAACTTGTAACATTTCAAATGTTAAAAGTGAAAATAGAAACATAAACAAGATTGCAATAACTCTGATATTCAATTTCATTCAAAATGGAACTCTATCACTAAATGTAGATCAGTTATTATATTCATAAATATCCCTAACTCTCCTCTCCAACCTGAATTTTGTGTCCCGAAAGTTGTTTGTCCTCTGTCTTTCTATTTCAATTCATTTGAGTAATACTATAATCCCATAAAATTTTATTCTGAATTTATTCAATTTGTGATTTAGATTTACTATATATTTAAATTTATACTATATCAATTTAATCTCTACCACACAAACATCTCACCCAAAAAATTATGAACTCTTATGTTTGTGACAGTAGCTTTTTTGTTCATTTATAATTGTCAAATCATGTGAAATTTTTGAAGTAAAAAATCCTTGATAGATAATTAAACGGTATTAAATGAAATGAGATTGAAAAATAAAAACTTTTTGAGACAGAAGACTCTCATTTTCCCCCTTTAAAAATCAAACTCTACATATATGCAATGACAAGCAAAAAACAAAAATCACAAACAATCTCAAAAAAATACTTAGGTGTTGTTTATTTTATTGGAATGAAAATAGAATAGTATAATTATTCAATTAAAATCTTCTTTCTCATGTTTGGTTCATTCAAAAAATGATATAAAAAAATACATTATAAATGAAATAATTTTCTATCATTGTAAGTGAATGATTCATAAGGAAGCTAAGAAATTAATATTTTATTTCATTTTGATTTTCATTCTAGTTAAGGCCTTGTTTGTGAAGAGAGTAAAATAGTCAAAAAGTCACCATAAGTTGTAATATCACTCTTTATTTTCTGTCTGACTTTTCGTAAAAAGTCAAAAAATTAATTAAAATACCTAATTCTCAAGGAACAATTTGAAATGTTAGATCAAATTTATATCATACATTTATATTCTAGGGAAAATTATAATATAGTGGGACAGAAAAAAAAAATTACAAAAACATGTGAGGTGCAAGTAATTCCGTGATGAGGTGCAAGTGAAATAGCTGTGATGGTACAAGTGTAACTTACACCCATTCATATTTGTGTAATTTTTTTTTTTTTTCCTGTCTCACTAGATGTAATTTTCCTTATATTCTAGACATTAAAATATATATATATTTTTTTGGATACGCAGAATTTCTGAATTACTAATCCTGTATAAAAATCACTAGAAAGTTCAAATTAGACAACCAAAAAAAAAATCCAGACAATTCACTCAAAAACAAAAAAAAAACAAAAAAACTAAATTGCCACGTGTTTGCCCCATGCAAAAAATCCACAGTGAAACAAATTACGAAGCTTCGTGGAAGATTCAAGCAATGAATCACATCCTATTTATAACAGTCTACAATGCGTGTATCAAACTACACTCACTTTGTTTTTGCTATTGTCATATTGTGTTGTGTGTGTTTTACAAAACAATTAATTCTGTTTTTTTAAATTTTGTGGCAAGCCAAACATGGCCTTAACGGAACCATGGATAATGGAAAACGGCAACATCAAAGGGTTGAGCAAGGAGCTGAGGCATGGTCGGACGGCTCACAACATGTCGTCGTCGTCGCTGCGTAAAAAATCCGATTTGTCCCTGGTTTCTAAAGTGCCTTGTGGGATTGTTAGGCTGTGTTTGGCTAACCTTCAAGAGGTTATTTTGGGAACCAAGCTCTCAGTTCTCTTCCCTGCCATTCCACTGGCTGTTGTTGCAGAGTGTTATGGGTTTGGAAGAGTGAGTTTTTCTTGTTTGGCATTATTAGGGTTTTGCTTATAAAACAGTGAAATTTTACTACAAATATGAAAACAATGGTAATTGAGTTATAAAATATTTTTCCTTAATTTTTATGTCAATTTTTTCTAAACATTTTCAGTATCCAATGCATTTCAGGTAATTGTGATAAAACCTGACCAACGTATAAGTAAATACGATATTGAGATTTTTCCCAAAACGTGATTGGTTTCTACGATCGGAAAATGTTACAAGTCTCAAATTTTTTACTAAGTGAATGACCAAATGTCTCACATGAGTGTGAGGTATATAAAAGTGTGGACCCCATATCTATGTGCGACATTTGGTCATTTATTTAGTAGAAAATTTAGTATCCTTAGCATTACCCTTCTCAGATCATTTCTGGATCTAAGTTTTTTATTAGTTAGTCCTGGTGAAATCCTCAGACAACGTATTTTTTTTAAACGAGGCCTTCGGTAACGTGACATTAAGACTCCTTATTCTTAATTAATGATGTTTATTTCTTTTATTTGAAATTTTATTTTACTGAATAAATCTAAATTAAAACTGAACTAAATAATAAATGAAGCGAAATCTACAAAAGTATTGTACTAGAAAGAATAATGAAATAAGTTATATTATTATGTTTTCCAAATTCTTATAACTCAAGACTCTTTCCTAATTTAGTAGTTGTGAATATTTTTAAAAAAGGAATAAATAAATTTGAAAATAGAAAATCGTTCATTTTATTTATTTTGTTTGAGAATAGAAAATCGTTCATTGTTCAACCGTGTTGAGAGTATTGTTTTTTTTTTTTTTTTTTTTTTTTTTGGTGTCAAATGTTTGAAAAGGGTATCTACAATTTTCACAATTGAATTTTTTTGCATTTTTTTTTTTTGACCTGATGACATCTCAACTTTTGAGATGGTTTTTATTTAGTTTATATCAAATTTTTGAAAACGGTATCCACAATTTCTTCATTTTTTTAAAATTTATACACATTGAATTTTAAACTTGCGATAAATATTCACCAAGGTATCAAACATATTACTGATACTCAGGTTCATCTCATTGCTAGATGATTAGTGGCGGAGCCACATGGAGGCCAAAGGGGTCATGTGCCGCTCTCGGTTTTGGATTTATAATTTTTTTATTTTTTATTTTTACATATATATATAAATAAAATTTTAAACAAAAATAATATTTAGAATAAAATATCAATGGCATTTCTAAATTTATGAGAACAATAGTGATTGTTTTATTAAAAATGAAAGGACTACAACAAATTATATTTTTATGTATGAAAATTTTGTGAAAAAGTCTCAATTATTGATATGTAAATATAATTAATCTCACTATATATATGTAAAAGTTACTAAAATGTTAGTTATATTTGCATGTAAAATTCACCCTTCATATGTTGTTTTATTATTGGTTGGTGATATCATATGTCAATGGTAACGTAATATCACTATTATATGAAATTTTTACTCAAATTTTGTAAAAATTTAATTTATCTTACCATTATATAATTTATTTTAAAACTTAAATATATGACCTTTTCACATTATCTATGATATACTAGTTATACGTATACTTTTTTTCGATTTTACTTGAAGTTAATTGTAAAATTTTATGTAAAATATTTTTATAATAATTTATTTAAGTTTTTGTACTTAATATTAATTCAAAAATTATTATTATCTTCTTATTGTTGGTTATAGAAAAAAATTAAAGTTATAATTAATAAATGTCCCTTCTGATTTAGTTTTCTTTCTCCGTCACTGGGCTTGATATAGTTTTCCTTCTAGTATTCATTCCTACTGGGAAAAAAAAATGCAATTGACAAACAATTAATTTGTAATATTCCTTTACATTGACCGATAATATAAATATTACTTATGCATTGTTTGTTTCTGCCGAAAACAACAGCCATGGGTTTTTGCATTGAGCTTACTTGGATTAACCCCATTAGCGGAACGTGTCAGCTTCCTCACAGAGTAAGTGTTTCTAATAGGTTAATAAGTTGTGTTTTGATCAAGAATTTAGATCGAAATTTATATTTCATTTTCATTTCATACATGTTTTTTTATTTCCTTTTTCAAATGTCCTATTCAAATTCATAACACAAAACACAAGTTTTTGTTGTTCTTTCAATGCTGTGTAATTAATAAATACTTACTCGGTAACTGATGCCATATTTTTTATTGTTTGTCTCTTGTGTTTTTGTTATCAATTATGTCAGGCAAATTGCTTATTACACTGGTCCTACAGGTAATTCCTTGCAAATTTAATATTTTTAACTACTGGGTTGATATCATATTAAAATATTGAAAACCCATTTCATCTAAAAGTTTTAAATTATTGGAGAGAGGAATAATTTTATTATTTATATTTTGAATAAGAAAAATAATTTATTCATATAATTTCTCTCTCCAAATTCCTTGAATGATATGGCAAATAAAATTTAAAAAGTTTACGCACGCTCTAATGTTCTCTCAAAATTTTCTTACATGCATTATATCTTGCCACCTCATTTGAGAAATTGCGAAGGACATAAATTGTGTGAATATAATACCGTCCTTTCATTCTCAGTTTGCTCAAAAGATGCACAATTTTCATTTGATTTGCACGTGTATTGTTAATTTTAATTTTTTTTAAGAGAATTTTTTTAATAATTTAAAAAAATTAACGTCCATATTACTCAATTTTTAATATGTATCGCTTATTGCTTCTAATAACATTTTATTGTAACATATACTGATTTCTCACATTATACAATTATTTAATTCCACCCTCCCCCTCTTTGAACTCGGTATGATATTAGCAAATTAGTAAGTTAAATTTATCACAACCAAAACATTCCCTTTAAGATGATAAAACTTGATTTGTAGCTCATTCTTCAAACAAACCATACAAGAGCATTGTTCAATGTAGTGAAATTTCATTTGACATTACTTTGGGTGGTTGTTGCAGTGGGAGGACTTCTAAATGCAACATGTGGAAATGCAACAGAGCTAATAATAGCAATACTTGCTCTCACCCAACATAAAATAGAAGTGGTGAAGTACTCTCTCTTGGGTTCCATTCTCTCCAACCTTCTCTTGGTTCTTGGCACCTCTCTCTTCTGTGGTGGCCTTGCTAACCTTATGAAGGAACAAAAATTTGACAGAGTAAGTATAACTCTAAAAATTAAATAAATAAAATTAGGGTTTTTTTAAAAACAGTTTAAGCCAATTATCCATTAAAAGATGTTCAGTAGTGCAACTGACTAGCTAAAAAAATATTTTTGAGCAAATTTCCCACTAAATAGATATTCCACAATGCAACTTGCCACTAGAAAGATGTTTAAAAGTGCAATTCGCCCTTTTAAACTATCTTTTTGAGCAAATTATTCCCTAAAAAGATGTTTAAAAGTCAAATTGGCTCCCCAAAAATATCTCTTTTGAGCAAATTACCCTTGAAAAGATTTTTTTTTTTTTATCAGCAAAAGATAAACTTTATTGATGAAAGAAGATTTACAAACAAAAAAACTTACATCAATAAAGGAAGGAGGTGCAATAAGCATCATAACTACACTTCACAATCCCAACTAGGTTGGCACCAAGAAGGTAGCACAATCATATGCCAGCACTACACCCAAGATTGGTGAGGATCCAATCAACAAACAGAAAAAAAACAAAAAACATAGAACAACCAGTAGAAGGCTGAAGCATCACCTATAAACAAAACGTTTGCCGATGGACACCTAGCCACTCACATAGAAAGCCAACTGATAGTGCTAAGCAAACTACTAAACATATTCAACCTCCAAAGCATTCATCCTCCATTACTGATAATACTTCACCTCATAGCAGCAGCAAAGGAGACTTGAGCAGCAACAACCCTTGAAAAGATGTTCAAAAGTGTAACTTGCCACCTGAAAGATCTTCAAAAAAGTACATTTACTCCCTAAAAAGGCAAATAGTTTAGAGGGAAATTTCTAAAAATGATTAAAAATCCAGGAGGCAATTTGTTCCAATTTGATCTTAAGTGGTCAATTGCACTTTTGAAGTTCATGAAATAATTTGTTTCAATTGATCTTTCAATATATCAATTACACATTTGAGCATCTTTCAGGGTGCAAATTGTCAATAGCCCAAAAATTATATATTTTGTGACTCTTGTTATGTAATTCATTCATTGTATTATTCAACAGAAACAAGCAGATGTGAATTCCCTGCTGTTGTTGCTGGCTCTTCTGTGCCACATGCTGCCCTTGATGTTCCGATACGCCGGGAAATCGGAAGTCGAGACTGCAAAACCAACACTTGAGTTGTCAAGAGCAAGCAGCATTGTAATGCTTGTTGTCTACTTTGCTTACCTTGTGTTCCAGTTGTGGACTCACCGACAAATGTTCGAAGCCAAGGAGGTAAAATTGATTATCCTTAAGACTTTGTTTGGCAATAGCTGAAAAAGCTATTTTTTAAAACTTTTTTACATTCCAACTAGGCTACATTTATAATCAACATTATCATTTGAACCAACCATATGCTCTAATTTAAGAAAAATAGGTAAAAAGCTAATAATAAAGTGCGCATGAGCAGGAAGAAGAACAAGGTGATGAAGTGACCGCAGAAGAAGCTCCGGTGATTGGATTCTGGGGAGGGTTTGCTTGGTTAGTTGGCATGACTGCTGTCATAGCTTTATTGTCTGAGTACGTCGTGGGTACAATTGAGGTAAATGAGTTTTAACATGCTCAGTTTCTGCATTAGCAGGAGTCTCGTGCACTGAGTCGTCTTTTTTGTTACATTTTGAACATACTTCATTTAAATGAATTCATTTCCTTCAATTTATTCTATTCAAAGTTGAGGATGGTTTTGTGCCACCAATGTCATGTAAAACAAAGCAAAATGGTTTCATTTCTTAGCATTCAAACAACCAATCTCTTGTAGGAAGCTATTCTTAAAGTCTAACAATTTCTAATAAATTAAACTAAATTAATGACTTTTTTTTCTGTTTTTTTTAAAAGGATGCATCAGCATCTTGGGGAATCTCTGTCAGCTTCATCAGCATAATCTTGTTGCCAATTGTTGGAAATGCTGCCGAACACGCTGGAGCGATCATATTTGCCTTTAAAAACAAATTGGTCAGTGATGCATTAACCGCCCTCTTTTTTCTTTTTAATCTTTAATTTTTTTATTTTTTTATTTTATTTTTTGGGGAGTAATTTGGTTGTGCTAATTACAGTTTTTTTTTTTTATTTTGTTTTTGCTAATAATTGCCAATTGTTGGAAATGCTGCCGAACACGCTGGAGCGATCATATTTGCCTTTAAAAACAAATTGGTCAGTGATGCATTAACCGCCCTCTTTTTTCTTTTTAATCTTTAATTTTTATTTTTATTTTTTTTTGGGGGGGGGGAGTAATTTGGTTGTGCTAATTACAGTTTTTTTTATTTTGTTTTTGTTTTTGTTTTTGCTAATAATGCAGGATATAACTTTGGGGGTTGCTTTAGGATCTGCAACACAAATTGCAGTGTTTGTGGTAAGCATTTGTAATGAATCCGAACCAAAAATGGTATATACAGTTCTTGATCAAAGATTTAGTTTGAGAATTGTTCTTATATATTGTTGTTTAAATAAAAATTAGGTTCCATTAAGTGTGATTGTTGCTTGGATAATTGGGATCAAGATGGATCTTGATTTCAATCTTCTTGAAACCGGCTCTCTTGCTCTTGCGATTATAATCACAGCCTTCACTTTACAAGTAAGATCTCATTTTTTTTTTTTAAAGTAAAAAAAATTGTGTTTTTATTTACCAGTCAATTTTGTAAATTAACATATTGTCTTATTAATGTTAATGTTTTAGGATGGAACATCTCACTACATGAAAGGATTGGTTCTTTTGCTGTGCTACATTGTTATTGCAGCATGTTTTTTCGTTTGTCAAACACCTCTAAGTAAGTACTTAATTGTGATATATTTTAGGTTTTACATTGAAACTCTTTTTATTTTTTCCTTTTTTTCTTCTTTGTATAATTTTTTTAGCACCAGAATTCGTGCACAAAAAAATAGTAAAGATCATTTGTTTCATTTTGTTTTATCTTCTGTCTTATATTTATCACATATTATCATGTCACCAAAATCAATAGTTAAAAGAGTATGAGACAGACAATGAGACAGAGAGTGAGACAAATGATCCTATGCCTAGAAAAATACTAAAAAACGAGAGTAATATTTGGTTGAGATTCTTTTTAAGTGTGAGTTTCACTATACAAGAATTGAATCTAAATCTGATATTATTTTTTTTAGGTAAATTTATATGTCTGAATTCTAATCCATGACTTTATTTTTTTTAGAAACATATATTATGATTTGACATTAAGTCATATCCTTATTTTCCTTCAATGTGTCCTCCAGACCAAGCAAATCTCATCAACTTGGGAGTTCAAAAGTCATCAACTTGAGGAATCTTCAGAGCGAGAGCTAGGTAAGTTAACTCAAATGTTAGAGACATATAAATGCAGCACCTCAAATCTTGTAAAATTACTATTCAACCTATACTTTTGGAAAACCTTTTCAATTTACCCTCTTTGAAATTTCATTTAGGCTCCCCTAATCTTTCATAGCATCTTCTTTCTTCTCTTCATTTAAAAAAAAAAAAAATCTCCCCAAATTGATAGCTTGTTTATGTATAGAATTATGTTTTCTTTTCGAAGTGCAGAAAAAAAAAAAAAAAAGTACATGTAAAAATTTCTTAAATTTTGAAAGTCTAACCCTACTAAACGAAGCTTAACTAAACAGGCTGACCCATTTCTTTCCCTTGATAAAGCCCTCTCAATGTATATCTTAAAAAATTATTTTAGGCCCAATTCCACTAAAGGTTGCTCTAGTTTGGAATTTGTATCATTTTGATCTCTGATTTTTTAATTGTGACACATTTGATCTTAAATTTTGAATTTTATTCTAAATTAAGCAATTGAAGATACTATTACTCAATTTCAAGGGCACATTCGTCAATTTGATAAAATAAACTAATTTGACTAAAATAAATGTCAATTTTTTTTTTTGAATTTTTAAAAATTATTTCTATCCACTAAAGAAAAAATTGTGTAAAATTGATAAATCTTATTATTTTTTTATCAAATTAATTTTCATTATATATTTGGATGATGATAATGTAATGGATGGTTGTTTTTATTTTCATTAAATTAGATTTATTTTTTTAAAACTCAAATATGGCGGCAACTTTGATATCATTATTAAACCAATCCATTAAATCAAAAAATCTAAAACTAAAAATGTTTCATATATTAAATATATTGATTACACATTAAAAGCCTAACAACCACACATTACATAATAATCATTCAAACACATAATAAAAATTAATTTGGTAAAATAAATAAATAAATACATGCATAAAATATTTATCAATTTTACATAATTTTATCTTTGGTGGGTAGAAACAATTTTTAAAATTTCTAAAATATTTTTTTTGACATTTATTTTTGTCAAATTAATTTATATTTTTTCAGATTAACGATTTTGCTCTTAAAACTAAGTAATGGTATCTTCAATTGTTATAATTTGAAATAAGATTCAAAATTCAGGATCCAAGTGACACAAATCATAAATTATAGGGACTGTTATTGTAATTCACCCATTATTTTATTCACCTACTTCACAATCAAACTGGACTGGAGCTATCTGTTTCATTGTTAAAATGCCCTTTGACATGAATCTTGAATATAATATTATTCTTTGATTGGTTATTTTAAAGCAGTGGACTCCAGTGAAAAAAGTCAATCAGAGAAGGAGATTTTGTTCACCTATCTATCAAGTGCTTGGCTCGACCGCTACATATGATCATGTAGCTAGCCTAATAAAATTTATGTAATAACTATGAGCTGCCTTTTGGAGTGAGTGGCTAGTATCAAGTGACGAGGAGGATGTTCAACTGATTGGATATGCATTTGTTATTCTTTGATTTGGATTTTCCATAAAGCTCAATTGGTACCATTGATGCTTATTTCATGCATAACTTCTTTGATTTTTGTTTTTATTTTTTTATTCTGTTTGTGAAAGTGGTGGCAGCAAAGTTGTTAAGCTTGCTTCCACAGTTCAATAATCAATAAAATGTTCAAGTTTTTTTTGTTTTTTTTTAACTCAATATTTCTTATATTTAAGCACGTCTTGGTTATAAATAAATCGAATTGAAATGAAATTTTGACCATCTAAACATAAAATATAGCTTGGATGCAATCATTTTATACATCTAATCACGTTTCATGCCAAAATCATCTGTATTGCTCTACATGCCTTTGCACAATTTATCAAAGACAAATAAACGAGATGAATTATATCTTAAAATATATATATAAAAATACAACATGATACAATTGAGCAAGATCTGGATCATAAGCTGGTTGAAGTGATGCTTTCACCATTACACCATCATCCATTGTTTTTATGGTTTAACTTGGTAGGCATGTTTGGTGTAACTGTTCTCAAATTAAAAGTGATAATTAGAAAATAAAAGTTGAAACATTTCTTTCCCAATTTTTCAAAACTCAATTTTTTTAACTTATAAATTATTTTAACTCGTAAATTGTAAATAGAATCTGCACCAAACAAACTAATACATACTCTCAAATTTAAAATAAAAAAAGTTATGAGCAGCCCCAAACAACATCTGTGGTTGTGGTGTCCCAAACAAAGAGGCCCAACCAAAATCGTTAGTTGTACCGGAGTCACTAAAGTTATGATATTTTTTTAGGCCGACCCAAAGGTTTGCAGGTTTTGAATCCATGAGCCAAGTTGTCACACCGCTAAATTTGCCCTTATTGCATTCAGGCCCAGTTGAAGACCTTCTTGATGGCCCATTGCATTAGTCCCTAGTAATGGAAAATGTTGCCTTTCGTTCGGGGGAAAAAAAAAAAAAATTCTTGCTCTTGTTCTTTTTTTTTTTTTTAAATATTTTATAAATTAATACATTTCATAAATTATTTTCAATAACAAATTTGGTATGTTCTTGTTTTTTTTCTTTTTTTTTAATTACATATATATATATATATATATATTAGAGAATGTGGGGACATAATTTTTGAATAACAACACGTGGCCGAGGTGTCACCGAAGTGTCAGCCGAGGTGTCACGTGTCCTGGTCATGACGCCGAGGTAATCACGACTAGGGCGAGATTATCTGCGAGAATACCAGAATCCGAGATAAGCGGATAAGGGACAAGACTCTTAGAATGGAAGAAGACTTCAGTTTGGGTAAGGATGAGACTCTTAGTTTATCCTAATCCTACTGGGAGTCCAAGATTAGCAGTAATCCTAAGTTCATTAGAACTAAGCTTCTATTGGGACTAGGATTATGTTGGCTATAAAAGGGAGGCACTCCTATGGGTTTAAGATATGCTTTTGATATTCTGTCTAGTGAGTTATGCACTATTAGTTATTTTTGAGAGATATTGAGTACTGACTTGATTGTCGGAGTGCCCCGGGTAGACGAGCCACCCCAGAATCTTCTCTTTCTGTTGCAGGTCATTTGGGCTTAATCTATTCTGCCGGTGCTTTGCAGGTCGTTTGGGCTTAATCTATTCTGCCGGTGCTCTCCAGCTGAGTACCTGTTTAGCAATGTGGTCAGAAAATTACCCACACAAAGAAAATTACCCACACAAAGAACTCTATAAAAAATTTAAAAATCAATTAAATTTTAAAAAGTCCAAATAAAACAAAAATGAATATTAAGATGTTGGCTTAATAAATGATGACACTTTTGTACTAGACGTGGCGTTTGAATTCGAGTATTACTGCTACAAATGCAATTCCAGTTTTCATTTTCTTCTCATAGAAATTGTAATAAATAAATAAAAAATAAAACAAATACTATTTAAATATCTGTTTGGTTTAATTTTGAAATTATGATTTGAGTTTAAAGTTATGTTTTGAGTTTTGACTTTTTAGTTTTTGAATTATGATTTAAAAAGAACAAATTTGTTTGATTATAAGTTTTGAAAATAGTTTTGGAATGATTTGTACTTCTTTTTTTTTTTGATTGATTGATATATATAATGTGAGAGAATAAAGGAGAGATGAAAAAGAAAAAAATGATTAATTGATTGATTAATAATAATAAAATTTAAAAAAAAAAGGAGTTTTGAAAGTCATTTTAAATTATATTTTAAAAATTTGTTTGATTATAAATTTTGATTCAAATCATAATTTAAAAGTAGAATTAAGTTTTAAAAATTAAACCACACGCTAGATTTTCTCAAACTAAAAAATGTTTGAACCAAGGGAACTTACAAGACTCCACCATATTAAACTTAAAATCTGTTAAATAATTCTACATAATCTAATAAATTATATATTTTTTCATTTTATCGATGTGATACCTCCAGTAAAGAATCCCATTCTAAATTAATTTTAGGAAAAAATTATTAAAAAACTCTAGAGTTTAACCTTTATAATAAAATAAATTTTGAGTTTTTAATTTTATCAATTTAAATTATAATCTTTTGATTTATTTTCAATCTAAACCATTCACATCTATTTCCGTTAAGTAAAAATAATAGAAAATTGATATTTTAGCCATTAGGTATAAATAAAATGTGTAAAATATTTTTTTCATTGAGTTTAACAAATAATTTTTTTTTCATTTTACTTTAAAAAATAGATAAATAATTTAGATTAAAAACAAATTAAAAAATTAAGATTTATTTTAAAAAAATGCTAGACATATTAAAAGTATGTAGGTCTCACACCTATATGAGACATTTGATAAAACTTCTAAAGTCTCTAGTATTACTCTTTATTTTATTATAACGGTTAAACTTGATTTTTTTTTTTCTCCAAAATTTTATTATATGAATATGACATTATTAATTTCTCTTCATAATTTATGGTTTCGTTTGCCATAATTTTTTTGCCTAAATAAGAATTAAAACATAAAATAAGCTAAATAAATAAATAAGATAAAATATCATATATAAATTATAATTATTTTATTTTTTCTCTCACAATCATCACATTCAAACTAAAAAAAAATCAAAAAATCTTCCAACACATAACTAATTTAGCTAACCTAAATTAGTCAAAAAGTTAAAAAATAAGGTTAAATTAATTCTTTCCAAACGAATCAATAGTGTTTCCTTACATATATATCTATTACTAGGTGCCACACGTGATGAGCGCAATTAAAATAAGTAAAATAAAAACAAAACTTTTACTATGTTATGGAAATGATACTAGTCTTGTTTATTAAACTTAAGGTAGAAGATTTGAGTCTTACTCTCGTTGACTATTTGATTAATTAATTAATTTATTTTTATTTCAAATAGGAAAATGAGGACACATGACATAAGGAGAAGCTATCAACATTTGGACATCAAATTGAGGTGTCCACTTTTAATAATAGTATAAACAGATAGACAAATAGATAGATACTTTTATATATGTGAATATTGAATTTGATGTCCAAACCTCCAAATCTTTTGCTCGTGGCGTGCGAGTAAGATTTGAAATCAAAACTTTAGATTTGATTAAGAACACGCTTACCATAATATTATTTTTCTTATTATTTATTGGGTAAATTACACTGACACCCTATGAGACTTCTGTTTAATAGGGATTCCCTCCTCACATTTGAAAAATTACATTCCCCTCCCTAAGATTTGTATACATATTGTCTCTTGAATTGTTGATGTCAAACTCTAAAATTTTCTAAATGACCATCTTGATATTTTATGATATGTTTTGTATAAATTTTTATATATGAATATAATTTGTCATTTTTATTTCCACCATTATATCTATATTAGATCAATTTAATTTAGATATATTTAAAAAGTATAAAACTTGTACAAATTTTTTTAAAAAAAATTCGTTGAATACAACAAAATAAGATAATATATTAAATTTTTGTAATTGGTGAATTTTTTTAAAAAAATCACAAAATATTATACTTTTTAAGTATATATAGAGTAGGTGTATCTAAAAAATGTTTAAAATATTTAAAAAATCAGTAAAAATAAAAATATACGAAAAATTAAAAAAAAACACTCATTCTTTTGAAATGACATAAATAAAATATTTATATTATTTTATTATTTTATATGTATAAAGATTAATGAATAAATATATCATTTTAATTTGATAAGAATAAATGTAATTTTTCATATCTATATATCTATATATTATAAAAGGAAAAAGGGGTTTTTAACCCACAAGATTTGTGGGAGCTCCAATATCTCAATCATCATTTTCTAATTTTTTGATTTTTAAAAAAAAAAATCATCATTTATTGAATTATCCTAAGTCTTTTTAGCTTCTCTCATATACACACCCTTTTTAACTTTTCACATATTTACTGCAGCCTTTTTCACTTCTACCATAGCTATTGTACCCTTTCAACTTCTTCACTTTATTTCCACCGACAGCACTTCCAACTTCTCCCTTGCAAACAGTGAGCGATACTCTCTCACATATGCAAACTTCCAATTTCTCCCTTGTAAATAGTGAGCAATAACCTTTCCCACCTATGCAAACAATGAGCAATTTCTCCATTTGTGTTCTTTTTTATTTACTATTTTTTTTATACAATTTTTATTTTTATTTTTATTTTTATTTTTTCTCCTTTTATGATTTGTAAAAAAAATAAATTATAATTTGATTTTTTAATATGATTGAAATTAAATAAACATAAACACTCACAAAGAGAAAAATATGATTGTAGTTAGTTCAATGGTTATTTTTTAATATGATTGTATTGTAATCAGTTTAATGTGGTTCTTTCTTTTTTCATTTATTTTTTTTATTATGGAAAAAAATGTGATGTGATTGTATTTGTTTCATGGTTCTTTTTTTTAATGTGATTATATTGTAGTTAGTTCAATGATTTTTTTTTCATTTATTTTTTTTATTATGAGACAAATGTGATATGATTGTAATTTGTTCAATAATTTTTTTTAATGTGATTTAATCTTTTTATTTATTGTTTTAATAGTTCTTCTTTACAATTATTTCTTTAATTATGAAAAAAATATGATTGTAGTTAGATAACAAAAAAATATTTGTGATTTGTATGATTTGATTTTTTTAATATGATTGAAGTTAGATAAACATAAACACTAAAAAAAATAATAATGTGATTGTAGTTA